ACACTGAGGGTTTTGCGAGTCTCATTATGTTCGCTTCCAACCAGCACACGTCAGCGAGCTTCTAAAAGTTCTAGAAACTGCTTGGAGACCCAATGTCTAGTTCGGCAATTAAATTTATCACATGAACACGTGCCTACTGCTAATTATCTTTGGAGAATATGCTACTAGCGAACTCAAATCTCTACGGTGAGCGCCTACTTAATCCGCATGTCAGTGTATTTTGATGCTTATTCAAAGCATTTGGCTTTGTCACTTGGCTGGTGACAATGAGCTCACAGAGTCGTTTCGACTTCAGCTAAAATGCACCCGCAGGTACGAGATCTCAGTCCACGCTCCTGTTCCAAATCAAGCGGTGGTTTTGGACACAGCCTGTGCAGCAATAACTGTTCCATCGCGATGAGACTGGCCTTGACGTGGTGCGATGGTTTGTGTGCCTCAGTGATTCATTGAGCTATGCTGGGTACTGCCTTTTTGCATCTTCAGAGCCACTCATACCAGCTTGATCTATGGTTAAAGGTCAGACAAACTCAGTTTTCTGGCCCTCCAGGTTGTGGGTTGGAGCGACCGTGGCTCATTGCTCTATAAAACGGGTTATCTGTTGTCCAATGGTAAACCCCGCTGCATTGTGGTAAGGTTTTGGAACCAAAGGCTTTGGTTGAGAACCCTAATCGTTCTCCTGTCTTGGCCTGGCCAACCTGATAGTATCCTGCCCTCACAATACACCCTTACTTGTCCTTCTAAAATCCTCCTTTTGCCCTGGCCGCAGCAGAGGCTAATAAACGGGGCTGCATTGAGCAAGGTGGATAGGGGTTTGGATGCTACTGCCCAGACCTTCCCGCCTTCGTGTACCCCCTCTTACACATTTTCCTCCTTAGCGTCCTGCTCTAAATGTATTTGCATCCCCGTCTTCAATCCCCATTCTTGAACCCCTACCTTCCTTCAATAGTTTCTTGTCTTCTAGTTTCAACCCACACACAATCGCCGAACGTCGCTCCAGTCCAGTCGACAATTCCATGTTAAACCAAGCGGACGATGTCAGTTTATCCGTTTCTCTTTGGAGTACTTGATCCCCGCTACGACTGGCATGCCTCAACTTGCGCACTTTGCTACAGATTGGCCAACACGCAGCGTTTGCCCGAACTCTCGAAACCCATCGATCGATATTTGCGGTTTATCGAAAAGGCACCTGCAAGTTTCGAGCTCCGTGCTTACCCTGCCATCCTCCGTATGTGACACTTGCGGCACATTCTCACTGCGCCTGTCTGGCGATGAGGCAGCTTCAAATGCCGGTCAAGCTGGCGTCGGCGTTGTTTTGAGTCCCCGGGCTGAAGCTGCCCTGATCGAGTGGATCCCAGTCAACAGCCGGATGGGCATGGTTAGATGAGCTGGCTAATTTCAGACTTTAAAGTCGTGCGGGGCCAAACGGCGTCTGTTTGTCATTGCAGCTTATGCCCCCCACAAACTACACATCTGATTCGGTAGAAGATGATTTCTATCAGCAACTTAACGCGCTAATTCGTAACGGCAGAAGCATGGCCCTTCTCCATGGGTCGTCTCCTTAGATCCGCCCACATACACAGGACTCGAACTTAAGATCAAATTGTTAAAATTGCATAAGACAGTAGGGGCAGGTTGTATTTTCCCAGCTCTTTTTAAATTCGATACACCTGCGCTTGTAGATGGTTTACACTAGTTGCTAATGAAATTTTGGGAGCAAGAGACTGTCCCTACCAACTGGAGCCGCTCCGTCATAATCCCAATTTTCAAAGGAGGTACCCGTTAGGAATGCGGCAATCATCGGGTGATCAGCCTGCTCTTAATTGCCTCTAAATTGCTTGTCTCTGATCTTCTTTACAGACTGACGCGCTCGTGCGTGCCAGATTCGCGAAGAGCAATCCGGGTTTCGTCGAGGTCGTGGCTACATTGACCACGTCTTCACTTTGTGTAGATTGTTGGAGCACCGCCATGTTTATTGGTGACCAACCGTAGTCATGTTTCTTGACATCAAAGCTGCCTTCCATTCGGTTGATTGATGTGCTCATTGAGACTGTCTGCTGAGAAAAGGCGTGCCCGATAAACACGTAGACATTATCAAAGCGCTGTACACGCGTAGTTCGGGCAGACTGAGGTTTTATGGCAAACTGTCGCCACCCTTCAGTATCACCAACGGTGTGAGACAAGGATGCCCGCTGTCACCTCTCCTCTTAAACTTCGCTATTGATGAAAACATGGAAATAGCGTTCGCTGGACACGACCTAAAAGGTGTGGAGCTACTTCCTGGTGAGCGGCTTCATGAGTTGGCATATGCGGACGATATTGCCTTAATCTGTGACAGATGCCAAACATGCCAGGCAGCAATGGACCGATTAGCACCGGGTGTCAATCGTGTTGGGCTATGCTTCGCTCCATCGAAATGCGAAATACTTCTCCAAGATTGGCAGGAACCCACCCCTGCGCTGACCCTTGGTGGGGATAAGCTAGAACTCCTTCAGTATTTCAAGTACTTGAGCAGCTATATTAGCACCTGTTGGATCGAAGACGAGATTACGCATCGTATAGCAAAAACTCTAGATGCTTTTGCCAATTTTCGCCACCTGTGCCACAGACGTGACATCACTTTCGCCCTGAAGACTAGAATCTATAATGCAGCCGTCCGTTCAACCCTATTATGTAGTTGTAAAATCTGGTCCATCAGGTCCACAGACATAAAGAGCCTAGTCACGCTCGAGCAACGCTGCCTTCGTGGCTTAGCTCATGTCTGGTGAGAGCTCCGTGTGAGCACTGAGCGTGGTCGGCGTCTCGTATTTGGTGCAGGAAGAGCTAGTGAACTGCTCAGCACCATTATATCACGCACCAGGCTCCGATGGTTGGGCCACGTGTTACTTATGTCAGCACTCCGAGTCCCGCGACGTGCATTATTTGCGCGCCGGGATGCGGTTGGAAGATCAGGAGAGGAGGCCAATCGATGAATTGGCCGACAGGAATGAAAACCCTCACTTGGATTTTGGAGTCGGTTGATGCATCCCGAATCCCTGTCTGAGTTCCTTAGGACGATGAACACGTTTGCTTGGAAACACACACTGATATGGCGAACAGCCAATTCTAGTGGCGTTGGTGCTGTGAGTTTCTTTGTTTATCTGCTTCCCTTTTATATTCTTCTCCAGTTCCAACCTCATGAATTACGTACGATAGTTTGTAATCTTAGTTACATGCTTTTGAATATTTTTGTAGGGTTGCTTTTTGTATCTTATCTTTTATTATTGAGGCACATTAGCTAAGGTATGTTTCTCACTTTCAACTAACGTGTATTGATGCTGACGCTGATGATGATGTAGTAACTGTTCGAGTTATGATCGATTTACATCCATGGCAGCGTTGAGACTGGAGGGGGCCATGTCAACCTCTGGAGAATGCTTTGTCGGAACTTAGTGCTCACGAGAAACAGACGATCATCCTCGCGCAGGTGTAGCGGCCGCTCACCACCGCACCCTTTTGGCCGCCCAGATGAAGCACATTAGAATAGTTTTCCAAATTGGGCGTTCAGATGACCTACAAGCACCACAGTATTCACACTGTTTCTGTAACGACCTAGTTCTATAGGTTGGGCATAGAAGTTCTTTTTCATGGAGACTGCTACAATTTGTGGGCACGTATTTAACAATGACCAGCAAACACCGTTTGTCGCTGTGCGACTTCGAAGTCAGTCAGTCTGACGGCGCACATCCGTCTGTTGACTGGGGTCCATTCGATCAATGAAGCTTCAACCCGGGGAGTCAACGAAATGCCTATGCCTGCATGACTAGAATTTGAAGCTGCATCATCTGCAGAGAAACACAATGTGAATACGCCGTCATTGTCGCATGTGGGGGATCTCAGGGTAAGCACAGATATTTACTTTTGCAGACGGGCTTCAGCTTAGCAGCAAAGATAGATCGAGAAGCATACTAGTGTTATGGCAACTGTTGCGTGTTGGGTAATCTGTAACAAATGCACACCTTGAGGCATTCCAAGTTTACGGAGGATTGAGGACTCCAAATAGAAGCCGGTGAACTAAACTTGTCCGCTTGTTTGCACATAGACTTTTTGACTAGACCGGAGAGGTGCCCTGCCATTGCGGGGAAATTGAAACTAGCAGACAGATGTTTATCAAAACATGGTGGGTAAAGGCCAAAAATGAGGGTTGGAAACGGAGGGATGTAAGTGAGCTTGGAAGGGGTTGATGAAGATGAAAACGCACCATATGGGAGTAAGAAGTCGAGATAGGCTGAGCAGTAGGATTCTCACTCCTATTGACTTTGTTCGGTGCTGCAGCTGGGACGCCGATGATTATCCTCTGGGACGGATAGTGCCACAAGTAATCATATTAGGAGATAATTGTATCGCCTTACTTGTGCAAGTGCCGGTTTTAATTTATCTTACTTAAATAAGAGAAAATGGCCATTTTATCTAATCTCTAATGGTTAATTTCCAATATTGTCTTTCAAAACCCGTAAATCTAAGCTTCATATACTTTACGCGAAAGTTGAATAACAGTCAGGAGTATGTAGATGGAAGAGTAGAGCTGTCCATTATCGACAGCTCATAAATAAATCTGTTTAATGAAAAAAGTCTGCACACACTTGTTCGCACAATTTCAGGAGCTTAATTTACACTTTGGATCTCTGAAAATTCAGCCTAACTCACTTATAGTGGCGCGAAACAGTAGCGGCGGTGAAGCGCAACCAAGTTTGCTCTTATTAAGGTGACACCACAATGAGGCACAGGGAACATCAAGAATATCACCGTAAGGATGCCACGCATGGGCCGGGTAGACCGTGGGATTGCTTTTGGTTACTGGCTGACATCATTGGCTAACAGTGGATCTTGCAGCCTTGGTGCACAGGGCGCCAGTGCGACAAAAGATACCTTAGAATACACGCAAATCGAATCTTGTAAGGTTCTCCTATTTCAACCAAAACTCTGCAACCTTACAGGCGGCCAATTCGGGAGTCATAACTCACCTGCAAATATCATAAATAGCTTCATTGTCGACCATAAACGCGCAGTCTGAGTGTTCCAGTGTTGTATGTGTGGTCAAGATAGAGTTGTATGGTTCCACAACAGCTGTTGAAATTTGTGGAGCAGGGTAGATGGAGAATTCCAGTTTGGATTTCTTTCCGTAGTCCACACTTAGCCGTTCCATCAGAAGGGAAGTGAATCCTGACCCGGTTCCACCACCAAATGAATGAAAGATGAGGAAACCTTGTAAACCAGTGCATTGGTCAGCCAACTTGCGGACGCGATCTAGTACGAGATCAACAATTTCTTTACCGATGGTGTAATGACCACGAGCGTAGTTATTGGCTGCATCCTCTTTTCCTGTGATCAGCTGCTCCGGATGGAAGAGTTGTCTATAGGTTCCAGTTCTCACCTCATCTATGCAAAATGATAGAGTTTTGACCTACTTTTTGAGTACGTATATAATAAAATTCAAAAATAAAACATATAATCCCGTAGTCATAAACTTACCAACTACAGTTGGCTCCAAATCTAAAAACACAGCCCTCGGGACGTGCTTTCCGGCCCCGGTCTCGCTGAAAAAGGTGTTGTAGGAGTCATCACCGCCCCCTACCGTCCTGTCATTGGGCATTTGACCATCCGGTTGAATGCCATGTTCCAGACAATAAAGTTCCCAGCACGCATTCCCTATTTGTACACCAGCTTGTCCAACGTGAACGCTGATACATTCCCTCTAAGGTGGAAGCAGAAATAAAGTTAGTTTCCCGGACTAGTGATACTAAACGAGTTACCCCATACACTTGATAGCATAAAGCAGCTAAACAGCGAAAAGCACATAAACTTACCATTTTATTACTCAAGTCGCTTTTCCTTAGCTTAAACGATGGAACAGCCGCAGAAGGTCACCAGGCGATAAGTACCGATAAATCGATCAAGCGATTTAAATTATCTCACCGACTGGCGCGCGGCCAGCATACACAGTGGATTCTGTACAGCATTACTGATCAGCGGCAGAGGTTTGTCTCATCGATCTGATCTGAGGGTCACGCGCAATTTGAGGAAGTATGGTAAGGGAGGTGACCTGCAGCAAGGAAGCGAATGATTTGGGTTCTAGCTTCTGCGCCTGCCTACAAGCAAGGCAATAGCGAATGATATTTCAGCAGATATGAAGAAAAGACGGGATAAATATTGTCGCTGTATGGCAAAAAAGCTTAACCAGTTGGCAAGTAGACGGTGGTGTATTGACACATCAGTCCATGAAGGAAAAACGTCGAATTTCGCCGTGGTATGCCGTGGAACCTTATGGGCATATATAGTGAATCAACGAGTGGATAACGCTAACCGTGTTTAATCGAATTCAAATTTATAATTTGTTCCATTAAAATAATAGAAGAAGGAAGCATAACAAAAGCGCCATTGATAATTCTCTAGCTGGTAAGTTTCTTTAAAACCGTTTCGGTTCTTTGGCATAATTGAGTTGATTTGGCCCAAACTATTGCCAATAAAAATCAAGGAACACACATAGTTTATTGAAGCCAAAACCTATTCAGAACCGGACCTTGCCAAACACTCAAATTAGGTCCAAGTATTATTTGTTAGACGATGATCATCTCTATGCGAGCAAAGGAGACTGCATATACAGTAAAAGCCAAAAGTCGAGCACCTCTATATCCTGACCACCACTCTAAGTTGACCGTCTTTTGCATTATTTGAACGTTCACCATATGAACCCTATGAACCCAGACCACTGCATATTGAACACCATTGCCCAGTTCTCCTAGTCAACTTACGAGAAGCAAATGTGATGAACGACCGTATTCTGATGAGTTACTAATGTAGATCCTCAGGCACCATGTATGATATTACATTGATGAATATGCCGCAATAGACGAACTACTGTATCTTGGTCAAGTGTTAATAATAATAATAATAATAATAGACTTCTCATGTAGTCCTTTAGTGCTTAAATCAACTTGTTCCCTACATGAACACTGCGTTGATGCGGTGTCCTTTCCTAAGCTAACCAGTTTACGACATTTCAGGCGCAAAGAAGCTGTTTTATCAATACCGCCCTGGTTTCACGCGATAGCTAGCGATTTGGAACTGTATTTTGTCAATTCCGGGTGTCTTATCGCTGAATATCTATATATTGCCAAAGGCGTAAAATATAGGGGAGGGGGGCGATCCACCACGGCCGGCACGTGAAAACGGGCGGCATTTTTAGTACCCTTGGTTAATAATTACAAGAGTAAATTCATCAAAATTTATTCCATGGATCTGGTGGAAGAAACAAAGGATGATAATCATATCGTGACTGAAGATGTAATCGGTACTACAATCGTTGATATCCGGGGAACTGGAAGTGATATTGGGAGCATGGATGCAGCGGAAATTTTTTGTAATACTGATTCAGAAAAAGCTCGCAAAGCTGAATACTTGGAAATGCAACCACACTTTTGCACGCGCGATGGTTTGTGTGCCTCAGTGATCCATTGATCTATGCTGGGAGTTGCATTCTTTCCCCTTCAGAGCAGGTCATACCATATTGGTCAATGGTTAGAGGCGAGAGAAACGCAGCCACTTCGTACTCCAGATTGGCGGTTGGAACGAGGTGGCTCCTTATTCCTTATAACGGACTCCTTGTAGCCCAACGCCAAACCCGCCAAACCCTTGGTTGAGAACCATAAACGTTCGTCTATCTAGGTCTGGGCAGCCTGACAGTATCCTTCCAAAGCAATACACCATGACTTTTCATTCTAACAAACTCTTGATACTGTGGCCAACGCAGAGGACAATCAAGAGTGCTCTATCTGCTGTATCGAGCATGGTGGATAGGGGTTTGAATGCTACTGCTCAAGCCTTCCCAACTTATTATTCTCCCTCTTACATGTTTCGCCATTATAGTCTCGTTCCAACTTCACTTTTATCCCTCCTGTTATCAACGCCCCGATTCCTTGCCCTCTTCCAAAATGTTTTGCTAGGCGTTTATCTCCTAGTTTCTACACACATGTGAACGCAGGGGGTCAGTCCTGTCTTCGTGGTGCCAGCTGGGTGGTTCGGGTATAACCCGTTCCAGCAAAGCGTTCCGCGACAATGTTCCACCTACTTGGGGCATTGTATTCCAGCAATTGTGCTGACTTCATGGGGAGTACGGGGCCAGCGTTTGGTAATCCACCAAACAAAGACGCATGAACTGAACACTCAGTCAACGTCTCCCAATAGGCGCGATTCCCTAAATTTGCCCGGCTGCCTTGCGTGTAAGTTATTTAGCAAAAGGCTCGGGGTGAAGTCCCCTAAGTCAACTCCTTACTTTGGCTTGGGAAACTGTGTAGTATCACGCCCTCTCACAAAATCATGGACTGTATTACAACGTGCTCATCACCTACTGTTCCTGCTGGTCACTTTCACTTTACTTCATCACACGCCAACTGTTTGTTTGCTAACAATCCTCATTTTCCGTTACACGATTCATGTGTTCAACAATCTGGCTGCGATTCCCGTTGCGCCGCAGACAAAGGCGCTCAACCTATGGCTCTCCATCGTCACCGATCCTCGTTCCGTGTGGCGTGCTTCAACATTCTGGCACTCATGCAGATTGAACAGCAAGCCGTTTTAATGCGCACCCTAGATTCTCTCCATATTGATGTCTGCTGCCTTTCAGAAACCAGGTTGCAAGATCCCAGCACTGCGCTTACATTGACCCCCCCCCCCCACTGACCACGAAGCCATATATCACCTGCGCATTTCTGGAGATCCAGAAGCAGCCTCAGCGCGTTTGGCTGGCGTAGGTATATCGCTAAATGGCAAGGCCGAGGCGGCACTACCTGACTGGTTCCCTATCAACAGCCGACTATGCGCAGTTCAGCTTCGGGGTTCATGAAGAATCAACGCGCATCGCGAAGAGAGACACAACTTGTTTGTGATCTTAGTGTACGCTCCAACTGACTGCAGTGGCGACTCGGTCCAGGACGAAATCTACCGGGATCTACAACAGCTCTTGACTAATACTAAGTCGGATGTCGTTATCCGTGCTGAGGATTTTAATGCACGGGTTGGCCGCCTGTTACCATACGAACGCCACCTTGGTGGTCATCACGCGCTCTATGAGAACCGCTCTGATAACGGAGAGAGATTTCTCACATTGTGCGAAGACAACCGTCTGTTTCTTTCGAGAACTAACTTCAGGCGTACGAAGAAGCTTTCCGCAACGTGGCGTCCCCCTTCTTCAACACAACCGTGGTCTCAAATGGATCACATTGCAATTAGCTTCAGATGGCGCGGCAGCGTACTGGACTGCAGGTCGGTTTGGTCCACCTTCGTTGATTCAGGTCATGCACTGATCTGCGCGACAATCTGTATGTGTTTTGAAGGATCTCGAAACACGACGCACCGCAAGATTGATGTAAACAGATTAACTGATTCCTCCGTCCAGACGAGCTATCAGTCTTCACTGGCATATGCACTCAGTTGCAATCCACCGCAAGAGGTGTAACAACACTGGGCTTGTATAAGGAAATCGATGACCGTTTCCAGAGAATCGAGCTGCAGCCTAACTCGATGCACCTTGAAGTGTTGGATCTCTGCTCGTTCTCTGGAGCTGTTCGAACGCCGCAAAGATATCCCAGCGGAATCAGATTGCAACGAGCGGCGCCGTTCTGCCAACCGGCTGCTCAAGCAAAGCCTACGCAAGGATCGCGAGACATGGTGGTCTGAGCGTGCTTTGGAGATGGAGACCGTTGCCCTCTCTGGCAACACTCGCAGGCTTTTCCAACTCATTCGGTCCACTGGCATCAGGAAGCCTAGTGTCAGTGAGGTCATTTTTGAGGTGGCTGAGTGGCCGATCACCAACCAACCGAGGCGTATGGACCGCTGGACCGAGCACTTTCACTCGCAGTTCAACTGGCCTCCACCATCCATCAGTACATGCGGTACACCTTGTTGTATTTCCTGGCTCGTCCCATTGAATCTACCAAGCGATGCAGAAATCTGCCTCAAAATTTGACGCTTGAAGCGCTTTAAGTCTGCCGGCTCCGATGGACTTCCTCCGGAACTATTCAAGTACGGTGGTGTGGCGACCATTAACCAGCTGACCTCGCTGTTCGCAAAAATTTGGCATGAAGAGAAAGTGTCTTCCTCTTGGAGCGAATCAATTATTGTCCCGATTTATAAGAAACGCGCTCGCACTTCATGTGCAAATTATCGCGGGATTAGTCTTATCTCGGTTGCCTCTAAGCTATTGGCATCCATTCTGCTTTGCAGACTATCCCCAGTACGTGAAGCATACTACCGTGAAGAACAAGCTGGTTTCCGTACTGACCGCGGATGCGTGGATCAAATCTTCACGCTCCGCCAACTCCTCGAACATCGCCACATTTATCACAGGCCCACTATCGTTGCATTCCTAGACATCCATGTCGCTTTTGACTCCGTTGATCGACCTGCTTTATGGCGTTGCTTGTTAAAGTACGAGGTGCCAGCGAATTATACCGCCAACTTACGAACAGATTACCATTATACATCCGGCAGAGTGAGGGTTTATGGCAAGTTTTCCTCGTCATTCGCTGTCAATAGCGGTGTGCGACAGGGCTGCCCTATGTCCCCATTCCTCTTCAACTTCATAATCGGAGACGTTCCATCGAATGCTCTGCACCATTTCCCGGGTAAGTTGTCCTCTTGGGCAACAGAAATAATCTGAGGGGGCATTCAACATGAGTCTACTCAATTAATTTGTTCCGTGCGTAAGAGCTGAAGCGTCCCACCTGCACCACTATGACTTGGTGCGTCTGAGGTCCAATTGGCTGAAGGCGACAGGTTATACACGCACACCTACACACCTGCACAAGTGACTGGCGTACGCACGGAACAAATTAAATGAGTAGACTCATGTTGCATGCCCCCTCAGATTATTTCTGTTGTCCAAGAGGTCAACTTGGCCGGGAAATGGTATAGAAGATTTCCAACATTTTGGCCTAGAGCTTCTGCCGGGTGAGCGCGCGACAGACTTAGATTATGCTGATGATA